CGCGTTCCCATCTTCCACGTCTTAACTGCTAATGGCTCAAGGTCTGAGTCATGAGATTACTCTGCAGCCTCAGGTGTAGTGAGTCAGGCCTGACAAATCATCCTGCTCAGCAAGTGCTCTCCTGCCTGCTCCTTCCTTCTCCAAGGTGTTCCCCTGATTGCCGTCACTAGCAGAGACAGCCAACAGATGGATCCCAGCAGTCCCTTCCTCAGCCAAATAATGCCCCCTTGATGTTGTCTGCTGGCAGTTTCATGAGGAACAGTTTCTCCAGTCACATCTGAATCTGTTTACAGCTGATTTCCTTTAATGTATTGTTCTTGTTGCAAGTCACACTGTACTTTGATTTTTTTTTAGTTTTGGGTCAACTCGCTTGTAGTAGCTTCTTGTGATGACTTACCTTCTATTTTCTGTATTTTGTTTCCAGTTTTGGAGAACTCATGTAGCCATGGTGGTCTACTGCTGCCATTCCACCTTCAGTGGGATGCCATGGCCCTCCTCAACCTCATTCTTTAAAGAACTGGCATTTCTCTAAAGTTCTTTTCCTTTTTTCAAGCCCCTTCCTTGAGACCTTATCTTGCAAGTCTTCAGTTTATTGAGTTTGATTTTTTGTTTGAATCATTTTAGTGTTATTTATTCTTCCTCCTGGAAGGTTTCACACCTATCACAGCATCTTGAGCCATGTGAGCAGGAGTTCAGCCAGCAGGGAAAGGGAAGGGATCCTTTCCACGCACTGAGTCTCTGATTTGGTGTAGGCACCCCAAGGATGTAACCCTAGAACTTGATCACCTTCTCCCTTACCTGGCAGTGAAAAATGATGCTCTTTCCTATGAATCTACCAGCCATGTGGATTCAATCTTGCTGATTGAATGCTGATTTTGCGCAGTCTCAGCTCGTGTTTCTGTGCTCTATTTCTGGCATATTTGCTCAAGACAGCACATCCTGGTTGCACCAATGACATTCAGAGTTTGTGCGCATGCATCACCCTTTCAGCTCTTCCTTTCTGAGAATGAAAGATGAGATGGGAGAGAGCTGAATGGGGATTGTCTTCATGGCTATTAACCTTTGATTTTAGCTGCCATGGTGGGGTAAGGGCTGTTAAACACCAAGATGGTGAAGCAGTCTGCACTGAGGTGGCCACATAGGCTCAGTAACTCAGGAGGTTCAAACACTTAACTGATTGTGTAATCACAACTCAGCTGGGCATGAGATTTCAACACTGTTGTTTTCTCCCCCCCCCTTTTCTCCTGGCCAGGTGATAGCAATTGTGATGGATCTGTTTACGGACATGGAGATTCTGTGTGACCTGCTGGAGGCCTCAAGCAGACGACATGTCCCTGTGTACCTGATCCTGGATGAAGAGTATTTGAAGCATTTTGTGGAAATGTGCAATAAAATGAGTCTTACTCAGGACAACTTCCCAGTAAGTTTTCAGTCACACACTGGATATGATAAACAGGTCTTGGAATCCATAAAAATGATGTACCCTCTGTTCTGGTCCTTCTGCCTGGTCCCTAGGACCTACCCTTCTCTCACTGTCCCACAGCTGTTTGCTCTAGGAAATCAAGTTCTGTCTGGATGCACAAGGGAAAGTATGGAGGAGCCTCCTAGTCTCATATCTTGATGTTTCGTGGTCCTTATTTCAGTGTTACATGCAGGAAGTGTGAAGTCAAGGCCAGTGAGATGCAGAGCTGCTGAAACCCTATGCTGGTGCAGACAGGCAGAGGGAGGGCAGGAAACTTAGCTTATGTGGACCTGTATCATCTCCTGGACAAGGAGGGAGTTGATACAGCCCCTGCTCTAGGACATAGAACTGCAAGACTTAAATTGATCATACTTCAGATCCCTGAGCTCAGTTTATATTTTGGCCAGAGCTGTTGCAGGGCAGTAGCTGAGGGGAGAAGGGGGAGCCCCCTCACCGCAGAGGGAGGGCAGGAAACTTAGCTTATGTGGACCTGTATCATCTCCTGGACAAGGAGGGAGTTGATACAGCCCCTGCTCTAGGACATAGAACTGCAAGACTTAAATTGATCATACTTCAGATCCCTGAGCTCAGTTTATATTTTGGCCAGAGCTGTTGCAGGGCAGTAGCTGAGGGGAGAAGGGGGAGCCCCCTCACCATCTTCTCCTGCTGCACTGCCTCGGTGCAAACCCACAGGTTAAAAGTCTCATGTTAAGATCTTCATTTAGACTTTGTGATTCAGTTGTGGGTCCATGAGGGGTTTGTGAAAAGCCCAATTCCCACCCAGTGGGTGCCCAGCAGCAAAGGTGAGTGGTGCCCAGAGAAAGTAAACAGTCAAATTTAAGCTACCACAAGCTCTTTTGGGGACTTAGAGACTCCAAGATGCCTCCCAGTATGTTGCTGCTCCCCATTTGTGGCTGCCACCTGTCAACGGAAGTTGGGTTTTTGTTGTCATTTGTTGGTCCTGCAAGGCCAGCAGCTCCTTCCCTGGGAGCACAGGATTCCCATCCAGCCACCCTGCATTTTGGTTGGGAGTCATCCAGTTACCCCAGAAGTATTCCTAACTGAAAAAACAGGCTAGAGAAAATGCAAAAATAACATTTTGGAGCATTCAAAATAGATTCAGTTACAAATGGCTTAATTTTTCCTCATTTTTAACCTCACAAAGTTTAATTTAGAAAGGTTTCTTTGGAGAAACACTTTGTGCACTGGTCTGGTTCACAATGTGGTGATTGCTCAAAGGTTGGACTCGATGATCCTGAAGGCCTTTTCCAACCTAAATGATTCTGTGATTCTTCCCCTGTGCTCGTGCAGCTCTGTCCTTTCTTGCTTCTCACAGGCCAGACCCATCTCCTCCTGCCTCGTGAGATGGCAGCTGCTGGGGCAAACTGCTTCGTAGATCGCTAAGGGGTTGGAATGGACTTTACAGATCATCTAGTCCCAACCTTGCTGTCATAAACAACTGCCTCACTGAAGTGTGCTGGTGGATCCAGATTAATTCCATCTTTCCAAAATGTCTTTTATTGCTTCTTCTCCCTGAGGTGGCCTTTGTAATTCAAGTCAGGATGAGTTTAGATCCATGGAGATGTCTATGTCTCTTTGCTAGGCCTGATGTCATGTCTTGTGCTTGAATGGGTAATTAGCACTTGCCTCCCCATTCAGTGTCTCATTGGCAGGTCTCCATCCATGTGAAGTGCCTCTTAAGCTGATGCACCTCATGCAGTCGATTACCATACATGCTGGACACTCACACCTGAGTGGAATGAGGGTAGATATTTTATTCCTGCCTCTGAGTTGTCACAGGATGTGGTAGTAAATCTTCATTTGGAATAATTGGCCACAATTTGGGGCTTAATGGGGAATTTGGGGCAATTGTCTCTCCAGCACCTTACTTCTGAGAACATCATGTGAGCCTGCTGGTGGTAGATCCTGGTGCTGAGTATCAGAAAATCTTTCATTGAGCATTGGCAACAATGACAGCAGAGGACTTAACCTGAAGTTTGCAAATATCCGTTTGCTGAACCTAGACCTGCTGTCTGAATGAAGAATGTACCTGCCAGTCTGGCTTTCTGCAAGGCTACAGGATTCTCCTCTTGCTGGGATGATTCAGGGCCTGGATTGCCAAGAGGAAGAAGAGGATGGAGAAAAATGAACCAGATATCAGAAACTCTCCCAGCCTTGGAAAGGATTAAGGGAGTGAAGAAATACTGTGGTGGTAAATTTATGGGATATACCTTACCTGAAGTTGTTTTAATTTCCCTGGGAGGGGGGAGAGGAAGCTCCTCCCAGTGAGAACTGGTATCACTAAAACCTTGTCACTGGAAGACAAATATCCATGTGTTGACTGGCCACAGGACCAGGTGAGCACCTCCCCAGGCATCCAGTGTATCTTGGTCTGTATCAGTAAACTGTGGTGTCATTTCAGAGGATCACAGGTTAATGCAAGCTGGCAGGGACCTTAGCATGTCATCACATCCAACGTCCCGCTTCAGGCAGCATCACTTGTGAGGTCAGACATGGTTGCTCAGGGTCTTACCTGGTCAAGTCTTGCAAATTTGTTAGGAACTACAGTGACAGGACAAGAAGTAATGGGGAGAAACTGAAAAATGGAAATTTAGATTAGATATTAGGCAGAGGTTTTGCTGTGAGGGTGGTGAGACACTGTCCCAGGTTGCCCAGGGAGGCTGTGGCTGCCCCAGCCCTGGCAGTGTTCACAGCCAGGTTGGCTAAAGCCTTGAGCAACCTGCTCTGGTGGGAGGTGTCCCTGCCCAGGGCAGGGGGTTGGGGCTGGATGGTCTCTAAGCTCCATTCCAACCCCTTAACAATTTGGGAATCTCTGACCTTGGAGCTTGCACAGCATCTCTGAGTAACTTGTTCCAATACACAACTGCCCTTACGGGGAAAAAAGTTTCTCCCTTCTTAAAGAAGACAGATGAGGACATGTTCTGGGACACAAGAAGGCAACAAATGAGAGCCACAGTGGAAAACAAGTTTATGTGAAGCTTCAGCTCTGTCCCTGTTAAAGGTTTCCATGAACTTCAGAGAAGACTAGACCAGTGCCTGGAGAAGAGTTCCAGGTGGAGTTCCCACTGAGGCAAACCACAGGAGTTTCAGGAAATCCCCTGAGAAGAAAACAGGGTCAGCAGCAGTATTAGGGGCAGCATCATCAATTATTGCCCTCTTCCTGCTCTTCCCAGCTGTAAGAGAGAGACTGCAGAGTCAGATGGGACCCGTTCTGGAGATTTGCTGCTGCTGTGTAGCCATGGAGGCAATGATGCTCCTGAGGGGGCTGGGAGACCCTCACTGCAACGGAAGACAAGCCTTTCCCACCCTGCTGGGCTCCCTGGCAGGTGTTTCCAGGCAGGAATCCCACCTCCTGCCCACAGGGACTCTGACAAAAAGGGAGTCACCTGCGACAGGTGACTGCCTTCTGCTCCTCACTCCTGAGGCACCACCCCTGCACCATGAACCCCACGTCAGACCAGGGACTGGGTGAGCCAGTCCATGGCTGTGTGTAGGTGGCCTGGGGAGCCTACACATGCTCAGCCTGCCAGGAGGAGGGGGCAAAGGGGGCTCAGGGGTGCCCAGGGGCAACTCTGGAGGGGCATGTGGAGAACATCTGTAGGCAAATCACAGCTGTTGGTGCTTGTCTTTTGCCTGCAGCACTGGCGCCTACAAACAGCTGTGCCTGGCCAGAAATCTGCTGGGTGGCAGCTCCCTCTGAGCCCCCACCTGGGCAGCACCCACCTATGCCCGGTGACACATCAGCCCCAGCATCGCCTGTGGCCCAAACGAACTGCTGTAGGTCTTTTGTCCTTAGCAGGGCTGATGCTCAGCAGGGCTGAGCTGCCCACAGAGGGATCTGCTGGGCCAGACACAGGTGGTGACAGCTTGTGACAGCTCCTTCTGTGCCCAAGGCGTTGCAGGTGGCAGGGGAGCTGGCCTGGAGGGCAGGAAGAGCTGACCTGGCAGCCCCACACAAGCACAGCCTGAGGGATGTTTATTTACATGTGAGGTGTTTTGTTTGGCACTGGGTCATACAGACCGGGTCAGTAACTGTTTCCAGTGACTGTTGTGCTCTTCTGCCTTGCCCAGCTGAGGTGCAAATAGCTTTTGTAATGGGCAAATACCTCACATTACAAAAAAGGCTCCAAGAGCCTTATTTCCCATTGGCACGGAGCAGTTGGGTTTACAGGCAAAAGTTGCGTCAGAGAAGCTTTTATAGTTTCAAGGCAGGGGAGGATCAGGTCTGTTTCACTTGAGTACAGCAGCTGAAAATGTTAATTGCATTTTAAAATATAATGATAAAAGGCAGTTCTTAAAATGCAGACATTGCTCTCTGTAAATGTTTTTATACTGAGTGAAGTTTTGGGTTTAAGCCTGTTCCTGGATAAAATCAGAGCGGCACATTAGAAACTGGCAGGTTGTTATGGGCCAATGTTTAGTGTCAATGCAGAGCCATCAGCTAGTGTGGTGAGTTGAATATTATCAATAATCTGGAATAATTTTACGTACTTCAGAAAGGATCTGTAGGCTCATGGGATTCTCCAGTTATCTTCAAACTAGAATTTGCAACTTGTTAATATTTCCTGGTATTTTTGTCTTATAGAAGCAGGCAGTGGGACAAAATACTTGGTGTGTAGAAGCTAAGAAATACCTAATGCCTTTCTGGGTTCTGCCTCTGAGCTCCTGCTTGAAGGAGTCCAGCAGTGATGGAACATTTCGGGTGAGATCAGCCCATGTGCCCTGACCACCTCTGCCTGCTTTCGTTTCAGAACATGCGCATAAGGTGCCTGAGTGGAGACACATACTACAGCAAAGCAGGCAAGAAATTTGCAGGCCAAGTCCTGGAGAAATTCATCCTGGTTGACTGTGACCAAGTTCTTGCTGGCACATACAGGTAAGAATATATATCAACTCCTGTGATAGTCCGGTGACACTGAGGAAATTCTCATTACCAAAACACTGAGCACTGTAACTCCTAGTGCTGTGAGTTGGT